CCCCAAAAGAAAAACAGAGGTAAAAAAAAACGGTAATAACCTGGTTGCCGAGTTCACGAAGTGAATTGGCTTGTTTTACAACGTCGTTGCCAAGCGACGAAAACCCAACCCCGATGGCAAAACACCGGGGGGGGGCGAGGGGGGGGCTTCTTTTGCAACGTCGTTGCCAAGCGACGAAAACCCAACCCCGATGGCAAAACACCGGGGGGGGGCGAGGGGGGGGCTTCTTTTGCAACGTCGTTGCCAAGCGACGAAAACCCAACCCCGATGGCAAAACACCGGGGGGGGGCGAGGGGGGGGCTTCTTTTGCAACGTCGTTGCCAAGCGACGAAAACCCAACCCCGATGGCAAAACACCGGGGGGGGGCGAGGGGGGGGCTTCTTTTGCAACGTCGTTGCCAAGCGACGAAAACCCAACCCCGATGGCAAAACACCGGGGGGGGGCGAGGGGGGGGCTTCTTTTGCAACGTCGTTGCCAAGCGACGAAAACCCAACCCCGATGGCAAAACACCGGGGGGGGGCGAGGGGGGGGCTTCTTTTGCAACGTCGTTGCCAAGCGACGAAAACCCAACCCCGATGGCAAAACACCGGGGGGGGGCGAGGGGGGGGCTTCTTTTGCAACGTCGTTGCCAAGCGACGAAAACCCAACCCCGATGGCAAAACACCGGGGGGGGGCGAGGGGGGGGCTTCTTTTGCAACGTCGTTGCCAAGCGACGAAAACCCAACCCCGATGGCAAAACACCGGGGGGGGGCGAGGGGGGGGCTTCTTTTGCAACGTCGTTGCCAAGCGACGAAAACCCAACCCCGATGGCAAAACACCGGGGGGGGGCGAGGGGGGGGCTTCTTTTGCAACGTCGTTGCCAAGCGACGAAAACCCAACCCCGATGGCAAAACACCGGGGGGGGGCGAGGGGGGGGCTTCTTTTGCAACGTCGTTGCCAAGCGACGAAAACCCAACCCCGATGGCAAAACACCGGGGGGGGGCGAGGGGGGGGCTTCTTTTGCAACGTCGTTGCCAAGCGACGAAAACCCAACCCCGATGGCAAAACACCGGGGGGGGGCGAGGGGGGGGCTTCTTTTGCAACGTCGTTGCCAAGCGACGAAAACCCAACCCCGATGGCAAACACCGGGCGGGGAGATGTTTATGCGGGGGCGGTGTTTTTGTAATTTATTTATTGATGATGTTTGAGGTTTGCAATTTTTCAAGTTTGTTTACGGAGTGTATATAATAAATCATGGTAACTTTTTGCCTCGGGGTCGGATTTTCATAAAACAAACTGCGTTGGACAGCTGATGAGCTGAAGTTTTTTCAATGATTCTTGTTTTTCTTTTGGAAAACGCGGCACAACAATTTTGTTATTCTTCAACGACAATATTCTTCAAAGATTTTTGAAGAGTAAATAGCCCAGCAGCAGGCTTTTCGAGAAAAAAAAAACTGCCCAATGAATAGGGTATTTTAGCAAGCTTACGAACGCATATAGGATACCATCAGGATTGTCATTGGTTATATTTCAAGTTGAAGAGGAGATATTTTTACGATGTAAATGACAGTAGAAATAAATATGTCCTACATATATTGTTGTACTTCGTATTGGTTTAATATTCATGTAGAGTATGAGACATTAAGTGAAAGTTTTCTGAGGTACATCTGCAATTGTCGGAAGGCAAAAAAAAAAAAAATAGGGTTGAATATTGTCGTTGAAGAATTAAAAAATTATTGTGCCGCGTTTTCCAGAAAAGGTAACAAAAATCGTAGAAAAAACTTCCGCTCATCAGCTGTCCAACACAGTTTGGTTTATTTATGGAAATCCGACCCCGAGGCAAAAAGTTATGATTTTTGAAAATATCCCCCACAGAACCCCCCCTCCCTCCGCCCTGAGCTTTTTTTTTGGTGCAAGTGGTCTGTCAATACACACCCAGGCTGCTGCACCCCCTGAAAAGCTGCTGAATACAATCGATGAAAATTGTTTTCTACTGGACACAGCAAACACAAGAAGATTGATTGGTGGTGGAGTATACGAAACACGATGTATGACGAGGAGTATTATTACTGTTGACACACGAGCAAAAGCAGCAGAAAGGAAGGTGTTGTTGTTTGTTGTTGTGTCTCACATTAGCTCTATTGTCAACAAAAAATGGGGAGCCCGTGGTCTCAATCCCCGGCACATACGACGCCGCGGGGAAACAAAACTTGCTGCTGCTCTTGGCTGACCCAGGACTTCGAAAAATCCCCACAGGTACGAGCAAACTTTTTTTGTGTGGTCGAAGATGGACTGCGCCTCTGCACAAGCCCAACATGCCACCATGCACAACATACTACTGCTGCCGTTCACCTGTCGCCGTCCTTCCACGTCTACCTGTCCATGACACATGCTGCCACTTGATGCGGCAACATCTGGGAACAACACGGACACAGGGAGTACCCCCGTACCCATACGCACAACCTCTCATTCCTCCCTTGTCAAACACAAATGATGTAACATGCATGAAATGATGAACTCTGTCTATATTTACAAGTATGGTCCACGCTGCCTACAAATGGGAGAATTAGCCATACCTCCTGCCTACACATGGGCGAGAGAGGTGAACACACCCACTGCATTTAACACACACCCACATGTCGGTTATGAAACCTCATCAACCACACGCCTCTATCGGCGACCACGTCATCAGGAGGCAATGATGAGAAATGTTCTCCCGTGCCCTTCTCACATTTAACGACATGAAATTCCACAACATAACATATATGAGACACACAAGACAGCTACCAAACTGATCTGTTGAGCCTGTTACCCACAGGGGAGATGTCCCTATATGCTGTCTGGGAAATCGTAGACACACAGGTAGTTTTCTCTGACGCTATGATTCCATTGTTAATCTGTCTCTGACTCTTTTCTATGATAGAGATGGAATCGTTGTGTCATATTAAGAAAGAAAAAAAAAGTAGAGTACAAACCACTCGGAAAAGAAAACAAAATGATAGAAAGCAAAGAACACGTATCGCACCGATCGTTCGAGAAAAGAGCCCTCGGAAAACCGATCAAAATATAACAACAACAAACATAAAGGAGGACGCTTCCCACACCCGCCTTAAGAAAAAATCAAAGGGTAACGTACGTACCAGCACCAGGCACTACGCACCAGGGCATGGGAGTAACGGAGCAAACAGGACAAAGAGGCGGCAGATGGGCAGACAGCCAGACGTACAAAAACAAAGGCCACAGCAAAAGCGAGATCAAGGTACCCAACACAGGCAGGGAGGCCATGAAAAATGAAACACAGCACAGAGGCCGAAGGCAATACAAAGGACATGCATAAAGCATTATAGTATACAGCAGGGAGGGAAACAGGGCGCAACAACATCAGCCGGGTACATAGTTCGCCACAAGTGCTGCCTTGGCCGCCCTACTCGGTTCTACAGCACTGCCCGGTCACCGTTCCTTCCCCCCCCACCGCCGCTTGCCCGGCTCTCTTTCTCTTCGGTCCTGAGATGGCCGTACTCTCTGCTTCTGCTTCCCTCGCGCGCTGGCGCTTCGCGGACGCTTCCGCCTTCTGCCTGTGCCATTTCCTCACGAGCCATACCGCCCAGTCCTCGACCTTGTTGCACCACACCTCCGGGTCCTTGGCGCTCTCTTTCCATGTACCACCTTCCACTTCGTCTCCCATGTTGAAGGCCACGAGGTCCTCTCCTAGACGAGACACCCAGTCGCCCTCCTGCCCGCCCCAGTATCCCACGACCCCCGCCATCGCTCCTAACAGCATGAGCTTGAGGAGGCGGCATCCTCCATGCGCATAACAAAGCCCGCGAAACACAGTCTCCGTTTGCGCACGGTGGCCTCGATGG